ACTCTCCGAGGAGCTTCCTCTGTATTTACTGACCTTCTGTTTTACCAAGCATGATGTTTTTCTCCGGGGATTGACCCCCTTTGACAACATGTCCAAAGTAGTCAGACGAAGTCATGCCATCGTCCTTTCAAAGCAAATGTGATTATTTTCCAAGAAAGATCTGTCCATTCTCGTGGTAGTCCATGGGATATCCCGTTGTCAAAGGCTGTTTCCATGGAGGTTGATCGTGAAGCCAAGCACAGTGTCAGGCATTTTCCATGGTGCTGCCTTCTGGTCCAGTGAGAGGATTTGGGGTTGCTGTATATATTGAGGTGATAGTCCATCGTGAAAGCTGCAGCCTTCAACATGAAGTGCTCTAAGTTTTCTTTGCTTTCAGCAAGCACGTCGTCATGTGCATGATCGCTACACCTTCAGTGGGTTTTACAAGGGAGTGGATACAAATGGGTGAGCGTTCATCACTTATGTCTAATGAAAACGGCCCCAAATTCTCTGAGTGAGTGAGGATGGAAAAAGAATAAAACCTCTGTGATTATAGATGTATAATCTTGTTGACAGTATTTGAGGTGCAGCTGTGAAAAGCAAATCAAAGGGTGGCATTGCAGAGCAGTTGCTTATGTTCACGTTACAATTTTATGTGCCCTGAGAAAGTTAGAATAGGTCAGAGGAGAGTGAATGTCAACCAAAGATCTGCTGACTGTACAACCAAGGTCTGTAGTTATTGCTGGTGGGAGCTTTCAGGCACCTGCCTAGTCTGGAATTGCGTGCTGGATCCAAAGTCCTGGTTTTCCAAGGGCTGAGTGGTGGCTTAGGGTGCATGGGCTTTGTAACTGCACAGACACGGGCTTGGATTCCTGCTTTGTCTAATGTGTGACCATCAGCAAATTTCATAGCCTGTTTCCTGACTTGAAACGGGTGTGTGTGTGGCGGGGGGATAGCTCTTTATTCCCAAAGTTACTGGGGTTGAATGAATTCGTGTCTGACCAGCTTCAGGAGCACTGTTGGTACACAGGCCAAGTGCTCAACTGTTAGCCTCAAGGTCGGTGGTTCCAACCTGCCCAGCACTTCTGGCCCTGTGAAAGAAAAGACCCGACGAGCTAATTCCTTTTGTGAACATTCATGCCTAGAACACTCGCTGGGGACTCTTCTCCTCTTCCATATGTTGGGATGGACGCCACAGCTCGAAACAACAAACCCGATGGACCCCATGAGCACATGTTAGGGTTTACTTCAGTCATTGTTTTCTTAATGTAAAGATTGTATTGACATATTGCTTCCTGAAATAGAATTCTGCAGTCATCATAACCACAGTCGATTTCAGACACTTTCTTCATTCTTGGATCCATTATTACCTTCCCATCTTCTCCAACCTCCCCTGTCATAACCCTAATTAATGTAGTTCCTGTCTCTAGATTTGCCTAACCTGGATTTTATATAAGTAGAGCATCACACACACACACACACACACACGGCTCCTTTTGTACCTGCCATTACGGGTGACTGTGCGAGCTACCACACACAGTAAGCTGGGGAGCAGCCTGTCCTGGTCTGTGTCGAGTGCTTGCGTGGATTTCTGTTGACCATGAGGATTATGTAGCTGGGAAAGCTGAAGTGTACACAGGTTCTTGTCCTGGTTGCATTTCTGTCTGCTCCGTACACATCCCTCTGTCTCCTCCACGGCCAATAATAGGGTCTTCGTGTACAGCCCCCACCTTTCCCTGACTCATGGACCCTGTGTGCAACAGGACGAAATGGTGCCATCCTCACACTTTGCCTTGAGGGTCCTTCTCTTTCACCCATCCTGTACCAGACTTCACGTCCTCCTCCGGGGACTGAGCTCTCCTCATGACATGTCCAAAGATTGATGAAGGCCCGCCATCCTCGCTTCTGTGGAGCATTCTGACTACACTTCTAAGACAGGTCTATCCATTCTTCTGGCAGGCCTTGATATAGTCATGATGTTTCACCAATACCATAATTAAAGAATGTCGGTTCTTCTTTAATAGCCCCCCTGTTCATTGTCCAGCTATTACTTACATATGAAGTGATAGAAAATCCCATGGCATGGGTCCAGCACATCTTAGGCCTCCCAGGGACATCTTTGCTCTTTAACACTTTATTTTATTATTATTTTTTAAATAGCCTGATAGGGGGCTCTTACATCTCTTATCACAACCCATACATTCCTCCAGTGTGTCAAGCACATTTGCACATATGCCGCCATCATCATTTTCAAAGCATTCTCTTCCCACTTGAGCCCCTGATATCAGCTCCCCATTTCTTCCCCCTCCCTCTCCTGTCCACCCTCCCTCACGAACCCTTGATAAGTTATTAAAGATGATTTTTTCCCATATCCTACATTGTCCTCTGTCACCCCTCACCACTTTTCTGTTAGTCGTCCCCCTGGGAGAATCTTCTGCAGCAGATTTTTCCCCAGTGCAGTATGTCATTCGATTTCCTGACCGCTGCTTTCACAGGCATTGATTGTGGATCCCTGTACACTGGCATCTCTGATAGCTTCGTTCTGCTCTCCCTAGATCTGTGTTGTTTGTTGGTCCGGTTGTGAGAATTTGGGGTGGGCGTGGCCAACCTGAGGCTGTAGTCATGATCTCCACCATTAAGTCATGATCTCCATCAACTACTCTGCTGGCAAGGTTGCTCAGCTGTGATCGAAGGTTGGTAACAGTCCTACTGCTGCGTTCTTCTTCATGCAGTCCAGTCTGTTGGAATATGTGCACAGGATGCAGTTTGAGTAAATACAGTGAATCGATCCAACCCTGACACACACATCTCCTGATTTATAACCCTTCAGTATCTCCTGCATGCTACCAAAGCAACTACCTCTTGGTCTCTGTACCGGGTGCCCTGTGAGCACAATTAAGCATTCTACGACTCTCAGTCCAGAACAAGGATTAGAGGATGCCATGGCTGACGTCAGATGCATCTTGACTGAAGGAGAATATCAGAGCTAAATAGACTTGTGTTTTATTGACTCTGCGAAGGAAATCAACTATGCATCATAAAAAATTACGTATAACATTGGGAAGAATGGGAAAATGCTTGTTCGTTACTTAAAAATCATGACGCCTCAAGTTTGAACTAACGTCCTTATTTCTAAAGTTCTATAAGCCTCTGCTCCTGAAAAGATTTACATGCTAAGAAACCATAAGGAACAGTACTCTTCTACCCTATAGTGTTGCTATGAATTACAGTTTGCGGAGGGGAGAGTGAGCGAGCTAGTGAGCCATGAGGGTAAAGCTTTCATGATGTGGCCTGATTTTAGGTTCTAGCTGCCTATGGATGGACCGTGTTTGTTGGAGTGAAGATACTTTTGTGGTAAGCCTTTAGATGGCAGCATCACTCACCATAAGCTGTCGTTGGAACAGTCTCTCTGGGAAGCAGGTGTTTGAGTCTGAAGGCTGCATGGAGTCCGCCTTCATCACCCACCCTTGTGTTGCGCTGAGGCTCTGAGCGGCTAGCTCATGGTAAGAGCTGCCCGCCCCTGCCTGGCAGCGCTCTTTCTACCACTTGTTTGACAGATGCAAAACGTCTCCTGTCTTTACAGCCTTATTTTTAAAAGCACACTTTGAAGTAGAAGGCAGCCGAGTGGAGGATTTGGGACCACAGTGTAATGTTTGACGAGGGAGACACAGAATGTCATCTCTTCCTAGCAGTTTTATTGAGATGTAATTGGCGTCCCATACATTTCACCCATTTACCAGTACAGTTCCATAGATGTCATGACTGTCAGCTCAGTCTACGTTTAGGGCTTTTTTCATCACCCCAACATGTCTCTGAGCCCTGGCCTAAAACTCTCCAGCTGACCTCCACCCCAAGCCGCAGCCCAGCAGCCACTCATCGCCTTCCCGTTTCTGCATTTGCCGATTCGGGAGCTTTCGTATGGATGGAACCGCGCAGCGCGTTTGTTGTTTCCCTGTTTGTTTTTAACGGCTGACTGACCTGGTGTTTTCAAGGGCGATCCCTGCTGTAGCACAATTCAGCATTTCATTCCTTTTTATTGCCCACGCTGTTCCGTGGTGTGGCTACATGCCCTGAGGACGTTAGGCTGCCGTGGAGAATGCCTGTGTGCGTGTTTTCGTGTGAAGAGGCCTACAGGCACACAGGAGTGGAATCGCTGGCTCCCATGGCAGCGATACAGCTAAGCTAAGCCAACCGTGCGAGGAAGTGCCAAACGGCCCCCTCCTCCCAGGGTGGCTGCCCCGCTTCACGTCCCCGTCCCCACGGCAGTGTGTGTGAGCGCGTTTCCTGCAGACTGACTCCTAAGAATTGCAGACTTTCGAATGACAGTGGGGGAAAGTATGGCGGATAAGACTCCTTGGACCTCGTGTCCCTGAGTCCCTTGCTAGACTAGCTGCTAGGCCTTTTGGAAGGTCACTCAGAGCTGCCAAGAAAACCATCATCTCCTGTGCCCACACCTCACCGTGCTCACCAGCTTGATAAGATGCCTGTGTTGTATGGCCACTCAGCGTGTAGATGGTACAGGCCGGCTGTTTGTGATCCTGGCCTCCCTGCTTCAGCGGCACCAAGCAACCAAATAGCCCGTGTCCCAGTTGGAGAAAAGTTCCGAATGAAAAACCCTCAGCCTCCAGCCGCCCAGGTGTGAACATGGCAAAATCACCTACTGGATATAACGCCCAAGACAGCGGCCCAGGCTTCGCAGCACAAGGGCGGCGTCTGTTTGGGGTGGGAGTTTATGTTCTCAAAGCTAAGCTGACCCTTTTCTCCCTTGGCAGCCCAGACTGGACATTCCCGTGCCTGTGTTCCGCGCCTGTGTTGAAACTCTGTGTGTGTGTGTGTGTGTGTGTGTGTTCTAGGGAAAGGAAAGGGCTGGTGTGTGTGTGTGTGTGTTCGTTCTAGGGAAAGGAAGGGGCTGGCTCTTCCTTTAGGCATATTTGGGCCCTGCTAAATGACACCCACTGTACATTCTCAAGCTTTGTTTGCATCTGGAAAAAATTAGACACACATGGTCTTTCCCACTGCAGGTCCCGTCAGGAAGCCCAAGTATGTGGCAAGCCCCAGAGTGCCTGGCGATGGAGTTACAGTCCCGTTCAGAGACATGTCCAAGCCAACAGAGCCCAGTGCGAATGGTAAGAATGTTTTCTGTGAATTTCTACCCCCCTAAAATTGGTGCATGAAAGGACCCTCACTTAAGAGTGAAAGGTGAGTGTCTCTTCACACGAGTGCTCACTGAGAACCAGTCTGGGAGGATTTTTCTTTAAGCAGTTAGAGATCTTATTGCCTAATGGACATTTCGGGAATTAGACACCCAACAGAGGAATAGCTAAACGGGTCCATGTGCATTGTTTAGGGGTCTAATCTGATTTCCTCTGAGTTTTGACCCACTCAGGATTGGGGGCATGTGAAAGCCAGCCGGTATACTGTTTCTAAGAATTTTTGTTTTGTGTTCAGAACACATTTTGGCTGCAAAGCTGAAACTGGAAAAGCTTGTAATTACGAGCTTCCTTAAAAGCATTTGATAACTTTGGAAAGTATTCCCCCACCCCTTTTTTTTTAACATGTAAAATTTCTTCTAGGGGACACTGAAGCAATGGCCTTCTGCCCCGCCCCGTACACTAACATGCACACGCACAAAATCCAAATTGATTGAGACCATCCTATAAGACTATTTTATACTATGCTTCTTTCCAATATTCAGAAATATGTGTCGGGCATATTATAAACATGGAGCATTTCGTAGATGTAGCAATAGCTCTTTTATTTTAATTGTTTAAAGTCAATTCAGGAATTCACCCACTTGCTCCTCTGTAGGCTGTCCCCAACTCACAGGATCTGTGTTCTTTAAATTTGGGAGTTTTGAACTTGGCATCTTAGTGTCCTGGGGAGGCATGTGCTTAGGGATCCCGGCAGGTGCAGAAAGAAAGCCTTCCTTGCCCTCAATGTGGATAGAAGTTTGTGTATTCATGCCGCAAGAGAGCTTCCTCTTGGGACTACCTGCCAGCTTCCTCTCCCTCTGTGCTGACCCTTTCTGCTGAGGGTGAGGGCTGGCGGTCCCGGGTGGAGCTGGTGTTCCTTCTGGTGAACGGTGGGGAGTGGGTTTGCAGGAAGACATGGGGTTGGTCAGGAGCACACGGATAAAAATGAGCCGAGAGGAGGGATTGGCAGAAGCCGAAAGCCAGGAAGAGAACAGGAGCTAAAGGATGAATTGGATGAGGAGATGGGGTCAGGTGCTGCGGATGCTGGCCAGGGAAGAGGGGCTGTCAAGACCATCTTGCTACTTGCTGTGAGAAACCCTGCCCTTTTCCTGTCTGCTCAGCGCCTCCCTTGTTTGGCTTCAGTAAGATAAGAGGTTCACACTGGACTTCTGCTAAGAAAGGGACCTAGAGCCAGAGGGGGGACAGTGCAGAGAAGAGCCTCCCCCACGGTGGTGCCTTAGAACTACACTCGGTCGTGTACAGAGCCTCTTTCTGTTGTGAGACTTGTGTGCACAGGGTGTCCCGGGCCTGTCTGACCTTCTCGTTTTCATTCTGAATAAGAACTGCTTTTTCTGCGAGTGAACGTCAGTTAGGGGATTGGCAGAGCTGTCGTTTCAGAATGAGGTCACCCCCCTTGCCCCTGGCCCCACCCATTCCCCAAAGCCTTTCAGTCCTAGTCATTTCTCCATTGGTCATTTGCTCTCAATGCCCATGTGTTGAGGGGTTCTGTGTAGGATTAGGCTCTCCTTGGGCTTGTGAACTTCAGGATTTTGACTAAGCAAAGAAGAGAAGTCATAAATAGTTCCCATGAGGGAGGACTTTCCTCCCTCACCCAAGGCAGAATTGGCTGTTTTTCTTGGAGTGTGTGCCAACTTTATAAACTAGTGCCAAACCCCCCCCCCCCCCAAATCCAAACAAACCAATTGTCATCTAGCCCTTCTGGTTCATGCTACCCAGGCGTGTGTGTCCGGGACGGTACTCTGTAGGGTTTTCGACCCTCTGTCTAAGCACCATCAGTCTGGGGGCTGGGATGGGGGTGGCGGCGTGGCTGAAATGATGACAAACCTGGATTGTGAGTGGGAGACCAGAACTCTCTATTTTGCCTAGAACTAAGAAACATGTGCATTTGCCCTTTTGAGATGTGCATTCAAGATGTTGGGGGTGGGGGAGGGCATGGTTGGTGTTTGTGGGCACTGGGTCATGGGTGAGAACAGCCACCTGGTGGCTAGAAAGAAGCTCCACAGAGTTATCTTTGTGTTGGTTGACGAGGAGGAGGTTGCCTAATGAAATTGAACTTGACAATTAGTGAAGGGCGCCGTGTATTGTAATCCCCATGGAATCCTGTAAATTTCTCTGGGGTTAATTAGGTCTGCCATATTAAAAGTAAATGTTGTGTCAAGGTCATTGAACCTAAAGGAGAGACCAGGGCTAACTAAAACTAGCAGTTGAGTGCTAGGTAGCCCAAGCAAGTACAGCCCTTATCTCTCGGGCTGCGCCTCGCATCACCACGTACATTTTAATTGAAACCTTGGCTTTGCGCTTTCCCTAAATGATAAGTGCCTGTAAGTCTCCAGCTCTTTTGTCAATAATAGCATTTCACCCGGCTAACAACCAGATTAAGAACAGTTCCTTGTGGAAAGCTTTGGAAATTTCACACATGTGTGGAATTTTAGGGGGTTGGTGGTGTTGTTTTAAGTGTTGGCAAACCATTCCCCAGGCTAAGCTGCCTCCTCTCGTCTGTGGTGCTCGTGCAGCTCCCTCAGGTCTTGCTTCTGAGATCTGCATCAGAAATTTAAATCCAAGCAGGAGAGAATCTGCGAGCACTTTGAATCTGCTTACTAATTTATAAAGCATTGCATTTATGTATAATTTGCATTGTTTGGCCAGATGCAATTCGGTGAGAGGAAATAGGGCAGGTGAACATGTTTGTTACAGGTAAAGAACCTGTTTATTAGTAAAGTTTGAATTCGCTTGGAAGCATCTTGAGGAGAAGACATTCCACGCGATCTAATTCTTGCCAGTACCTTTAGAAATAGCATTTCCAAATGACTCGGGGATTAAAAAAAAAATGATTGAAGGATGGCACTGTGGGTTTTGGTATTGAGGTTGTTAACTACAAGGTCGGTAGTTCAAACTCACCAGCTGCTGAATGAGAGATGGTTTCAAATAAAATACGAACACCCTTCCTCTGCACTTCAGCCCAATGGCTGTAATAAGCTATCTGGGCTATAGAAGAGGTTCTTCACAAACATGGCTGCTCTTGCTTAGCCAACATGCTGATTTGGGATGGGAAGAGTCATTTACCCACAAAACAGCACTTCTGCCTTCAAGGGGAAGCACCAGGTGAATGAGGGAGGATTTTTAGATTATAATAGGAGTCACAGCTAAATTTCTTAGAATTAGGGACACGCATAGTTCATTTAGGATTTGATAAATCATTAGCTACTTGCGCAAGCATTGAGTGGGAAGGGTGAAAAGTTTCGTCCTTGAGTTATTGCTTGACGAAGATGAAGTCTCAGAATACGGCGGGGTTTCTTTTATCTTTGGCAATCTCGTCAGCTGGTAAAACTGGCATATGTGACGTAAGAGGGACCATTCAGTGTGACACGATCTATAGGGGGGGTGAGCTCTGTTCAGATGTAGATGCATTATTTTGTTTTTATTAAAACTGTTGTTCCAAAAGACGTAGTGACTGTAACAGGAAAGTCATTGACACCTGTCCAGGTTAAGAAATAAAACCCAACTGTGCATTTCCTTCTGATCACACGTTCCCTAAGAGGGAACCCTGATCTTGCTTTTGGAACTATCTTTCACCCTTCGAGTCTTTACAATGATGATAGACCATTTGATTTTTCATGTTGAGAAAGGTTGTAAGTAGAGAAGGAGTGGGGTATGTGGCCTATGTGGTGGAAAAGAAACTATGGGTAAGATAACTATTTACTGTGTATTTACTTGAATAGATACTAATTAAATTTCTGTGTTGTGATGCGGTTTGAGATGGATTTTCATACATCAATCATGGAACCTTAGAATCTGGTAGGAGAGAAAAGACCCATATATAGAGTGGCTGTAATTCAAGGGAAAAAGTAGGATGCTGAATTTGGACTTCCATAGAAAGCAGTTCTGAGCATGAGGAGACTCAGTGGAGCTCTGCTGTAGACTTACCTGGCAGTGGAGTGAGGTTGAACTGCGGCAGGAAAGACACTAAGAGCCAAGAGAACGATTACAAAATGATTTCAGTAGTACAGGTGAGAGAATACAGCGTCTCTATTAGAACAGTCAGGGAAGAAGAGGTGGGGAATGGGAGGACTTGCAAGGACCTGAGGAGCCATAGCCACTTGAATGATGGTGACTTCAAGACTCGGAGAGACTCACTTCAGAAAGCACTGGAGGAGGAGAAAGACTTGTTTGAGTTTAGTTTTAGGCATGTTGAGTTTTAGGTACTGGTGGAACCCCTAAGCAATAGATAGTTGGAAAGTCGGGCCAGAGCTCAAGAAAGAGCTTAGTATGTAAACTGGGGGCGCCTTTTGCTTGCAGGTGATAGAATAAAATTAGGTGAACTAGTCAGGGAGAAACTTTGGTGTTTTACCTTACATGCTGTGACTACAGCGCAGAAGAAAGCACCAGTGATGGGGGTAGAAAAGTACCGAGAACTGCAGCTTTCTAGAAACCATGACTCTTCCCTCTGTCTCCCTTGCATGGCTGAGAGAGTCTGCATGGTCAAAGTACGCCGAAGCATTTTAAAGGAAGTGGAAGATATATAGAATTATAGTAATTAATTAGGGCTGTTTCAGTGGAGCTGTGAAGGCAAATGAACTGCAGGTAGATGAGGAATTGGAATTGGTGAGACTCCACACGTACCTCTTTCCCGTCAAGAAGTTGAGCAGGGAAGAGTGAGGCCTATGTGGGTAGGGTTATATTTATTTTTAATAAAATTGAATTTAACACAATATAGACTTTATAGCAACGGTTCTCAAATTTTAGTCTGGATTCCTAGGCATTCCCATTTGCCTCATAAGATTCATCAGATTTCTTTGCATAATAAAATCCAGACGTTATTTCCTTTTCTCTCGTATTGACCTTGTGCTTCTGGTGCAAAAGTCATTGGGAGTGACGCTGGGTGGTGTCTAGTATGCATCAAGGGAGGCCCACCA